ACAGCAGAGAGAGGGACAGAAAGCTCCTATGGCTAGCTCATTCCCCAAATGCCTACAGTGACAGAGTCTAGGCCAGGCCAGAGCCAGGATCTGGAAATTCAATTCAGGTCTCTCACAAGAATGGCAAGAACCCAACTACTTGAGCTGTATCTGTTGCCTCCCAGGAAACAACTTGTTAGGAAGCTGGAACCAGAAGCCAGAGTTGAGTACTGAACTCAAGCGCTCCAGTGTGGGACATGGGCGTCTTGACCTCTAGCCAAATGTGTGAGGCTCCCTCACACGGAATCCTATCCTGGGGATAGCCCCCTGCCCGCACCTCCCATCGGGGCCAGCTCACTTCACTTCACACCCCCATCTTCACAACTGCAAAGGACGGTAATAAAAAAGTTTCCACCTCCTGAGCGTGACCTGGGGCAATCCACGTACAGCTCTTACATACTGAGCGTTGAATGCTAGTTATTATGAATGTGATAGACTGCACAAGGCAATACCCCGACATTCTTCTAAGGGCTTTTGCTAAAAGAAAGCATGCCATTCTGTGCAATTATGTGTGACCTGATTAGAAAGAGAGAAGGTGGGGAGGGCGGTACTGTGCGACCTGGCCAGTGGGCCTCTGACACCTGCACAAGGCTTTATTCCGCCTGCTTTTGGCTCCTCCCTCCCTCTTTGTCTCACAATCACTCCCAATCACTCCCAATCACCAAAGCCTATAGTTGTTATCTTCTTCAGGGGTCAGGTGCCTGACGCAGTTCTGTGTCCCTCAAGTTCCACATTTCCAGGGCCAGCGCTGGGGTGTGGTAGGTTAAGCCTCCACCTGCAGCGCCGGCATCCCCTATGGGTGCTGGCTGGAGGCTCAGCTGCTCTCTTCTGATTCATCTCTCTGCTACAGCCTGGGAAAGCAGTAGAAGATGGTCCAAGTGTTTGGGCCCCTGCACCCACATGGGAGACCTGGAAGAAGCTCCTGGCTCCTGGCTTTGGATCAGCCGAGCTGTGGACATTTGGGGAGAGAACCAGTGGATGGACAACCTCTGCCTCTCAAGTAAATAAATAAATCTTTTTTTACAAATCCACATTTTCCCTCCATATTGAGGAATGAAGTCACTGTCTCAACAGATTCACATGCCTGAGGTCCAGGCATGACCCCGTAACAGGTTCACCCGCAGCTGTGGGAGAAGTGGCCCATGAAGGGGAAGTGGCCGTGCCTTCTACCAGCAGGTGTGTTCTTCTCCACCCTGCCTTCTCCCAGCTCTCCCAGAACAGACCCGCCAAGTGCAAGGACACTGACCCTGAATTGATGAGATAAAGGAAGCTCGCTGAAGACCACGGACACCATGCTGGACTGGCTTGAGAACTAGAAGCAGACTTCAATTTTGTGGAGCCATTGAAATATTGGGACTTACTCATTATAGCAGTTAACATCATCCTTCAAATAAATCTCTCCATCATCGTTGTAGATTTCACAGGAACCAGTGCAGTCCATACTTCTGATTGCTTCAATAGCTGCCTAACTCGCCTCTTCCCTCAGTCTTACTTCCTTCTAATCCATGCTGCACCCTGCACCAACGTAATCTCTCTCCCCAGCACAAGACATTCACGAAATCTTCCCATAGCTCCCTGCCCTGCTCCTTTTTTTAAAGATTTATTTTGTTTATTTGAAAGTCAGAGTTACAGAAAGAGGTAGAGACAGAGAGAGAGGTCTTCTATCCACTCCCCAGATGGCCACAACAGCCGGAGCTGCACCGATCCAAAGCCAGGAGCCAGGAGCTTCTTCCAGGTCTCCCACATGGGTGCAGGGGCCCATGAACTTGGACCATCTTCCATTGCTGTCCCAGGCCATAGTAGAGAGCTGGATTGGAAGAGGAGCAGCCAGGACTAGAACCAGCGCCCATATGGGATGCCGGTGCTTCAGGCCAGGGCTTTAACCCACTGCACCACAGCGTTGGCCCCCGTCCTGCTTTTTTGAGGCCTTGTTTCCTACTATCCCCTCCTAGGCAGCAAGCCATGCTCCTTCCTTGATGAACTTGGGTTTATTTTATTTTTAAAAAGATTTCTTTATGTATTTGCAAGGTAGAGGCAGAGAGAAAGAGATTCTCCATCCACTGGTTCACTTCCCAAATGGCTGCCACAGCCAGAGCTGGGCCAATCCAAAGCTAGGAGCCAGGAGCTTCCTCCAGGTCTCTAACACAGGTACAGGGGCCCAAGCACCTTGGCCATCTTCTGCTGCTTTCCCAGGCCATAGCAAGGAGTTAGGTCGGAAGTGGAGCAGCAGGGTCTCGAACTAGCATCCATATGGGATGTTGGCATAGCAGGTGACAGCCTTACCCACCTTGCCACAGCACCAGCCCCTGATGAACTGCTTTGAATCCCCACAGCCCTCTCCACCTCCTGTTCCATCTTTGCCCTTCACTGGATCCATTCGCCCTGCAGGGAACATGAGCCCTCCCTGACCCTACAGGTCTAGCTCATTCTCACTCAGCTTTCTCCAGTTTCCAGTTGCATTTTCTCCTTCTACCAAGCTGCTTATGACCCCACTCATAATTCTTCAAGTCATCTCAGCTTGAGAAAGTAGGAGCCAGTTAACCTTCAGGGAAAACCAAAGCTTTGACCTTCAACAGACGTGGTTCAAAAACCTGATTTCCACCAGATAATTTCCTCATTCTGTAACTTTTCCTATCTCAGATTTCCAGTTGTGTATGAGAATGGTAATTACCCTCTCTAGGTCCTCATGAGAATTAAATAACACCATAGAAAGTGCCAATGGGTAAAGCTGCCACCTGTAGTGCCGGCTTCCCATATGGGTGCTGGTTCAAGTTCCGACGGCTCCACTTCCGATCCAGCTCTCTGCTGTGGTCTGGGAAAGCAGTAGAAGATGGTCCAGGTCCTTGGGCCCCTGCACCTGCATGGGAGACCTTGAAGAAGCTCCTGGCTCCTGGCTTCGGATCGGCACAGCTCCGGCCATTGCAGCCAACTTGGTGAACCATTGGATAGACCTCTCTCTCTCTCTCTCTCTCTCTCTGCTTCTCCTTCTCTCTCTGTATAACTCTGACTTTCAAGTAAATAAATAAATCTTAAAAAAAAAGTACCAATGGAATAGGCACTCAAACATAGGGTCTAGATGATTGTGTCCCTTCCCAAAACTCGTATATTGAAATCTAAACCCTAAGGTGATGGTTTTAGGATTAGGACTTTCAGGGGGAGTTAGGTCATGAATCAGAGCCCTTATAAAGGAGATCCCCTGAGGGCTCTCTCACTCTCCGCCTATTGAAAATAAAGAAGCCAGTTAACAGCAACCTGCTAGAGACCCCTCACCAGATCGTAACCACACGGGCACCCCATCTTGGACTTCCGACCCCCCAGAATGGTGAGGAATACACTTCCGTTGTTCCTAAGCCACCCTGGGATGCTGTTTTATTATAGCAGCCCAAACTGATGAACACAGCTGGCATCCAATCAAATGGAAGTATTATTACTCTCTTTGCTGTAGGAAGGAGAATTTCTGGCTACCCAATCACACAGGACTTCCCAAATCCATGACAAGAATGGACTGATGCTAGAACATGTAAAGCCATAAATAGACTCTCCCAGGTCAGAAGTAGATTTCTTTTTCTTTTTAAGATTTATTTGTGGGGGCCCGCACTGTGGCATAAGAAGATTAAGGCTACACCTGCAGCGCTAGCATCCTGTATGGGCACTGGTTTGAGTCCCAGCTGCTCAACTTCCAATCCAGCTCTCTGCTAGAGCAGAGATAGAGAGAGAGGGAGAGAGAGAGAGAGAGAGAGAGAGAGAGAGAGAGATCTTCCATTCTCTGGTTCACTCCCTAGATGGCTGCAATGGCTGGGGCTGGGGCTGGTCAGTCCAAAAGCCAGTAGCCAGCAGCTTCAACCAGGTCTCCCACATGGATGGCAGGGACCCAGGCACTTGGGCTGTCTTCTGCTGTTTATCCCAGGTGCATTGGCAGGGAGCTGGATAGGAAACGGAGCAGCTGAGACACAAATCAGTGCTCATATGGGATACGAGTGTCACAGGCAGCAGCCTTACCTGCTATGCCACAACACCAGCTCCAGAAATAGAAGTAGATTTCTGATTTCAGACCCAGGAAGGCAACGCTTAGTAATGAGTGCAGGTTATGCTTGTAGCATTCTTATTATCAGAGCTTCTTGGAAGAATGGACCAATTCGCCAAGGCACATATTGACATAGAATTTTTGCTCAGTGCCCAAGTTAGAATCTCACAGAATTCAGGTGCAAATGCTACGTGAATGACTCTGGGAAGGAATCATTGCCCAACACTCTTCTGGTGCCACTCACTGGGAAGAGGAAAGAAAGGCCTCATGGACAGTGCCTGCAGGAGTTGCCCATCCCCCTGGGGCGAGGGTGTGA